TTGTCCAGATTTTGCATGCATACGAGGTGGCTGAAAACACCTGTGTAGTCAGGCTTGGGTCAGGTGCATCTTGGTCTTCAAGGTGACATCTTTGCTTTCAAACACTTTAAAGAGGTCTTTGGCAGAAGATTTGCCCAATGCAATGCATCTTTTGATTTCTTGACTGCTGCTTCCATTGGTGTTGATTGTAGATCTAAGTAAAATGAAATCCTTGACAACTTCAATCTTTTCTCTGTTTATCATGATGTTGCTTATTGGTCCAGTCGTGAGGATTTTTTTCTTTATGTTGAGGTGTAATTCATACTGAAGGCTGTAGTCTTTTCAGCTCTAGTCTCTCACTATTAACTATGGTGCTTATAGAGATAATCTTTATCATGTTAAGAAGAATTTCTTGAACTCCATTTTATTAATTTCAAATATCAATACTGAATTTCATCAAATGACTTTGCAGGATCACCTGTTGTGTTAATCCGAAAACTTTTCTCTAGTGACTTTTTGAGGTCTCAGTTTTGCTAATACATTCCTTAATATTGAGATGTTTTTACATCTCTAGTATAAACATGTTTATATGTTAGATTAGTCTGTGGTTTCCTTTATTTTACTTTGTCAGTTTTTTATTTTTTAAAGTCAGGAATACTATTTTAGCTTTCTATCACTTTGTGTACTGGGATATTTTATATAGCATATGTAAAGCTCAGAGAGAACTTGATTGCACAAGTAATCTAGACCTAAACTTCTTTTGGAAACAATCCCTTGATAACTTTTTCATGATTTTTCATCTGTTGTTTTTTAGCTTCTTTGTCGATCAGTTTCCTTTAACTACTATCTTGGTTGTGCCTCACAGTATTTGATGTTAAGAGCTTGGCCACTAACCAAAAGGTTGGCAGTTTGAATCCACCAGCTGCTCCTTGGAAACCCTATGGGGCAGTTCTACTCTGTCCTATAGGGTCACTATGGGTTGGAATCAACTTGATCACAATGGATTTGATTTGGTTTTTTGGGTTCTTGTAATGGAAAATTTCTAAGCATTCTGTAATTGCCTTTTTGATTTCTTCTACCATCAATGATTTTTTAAAGAAGAGCTGTAAGTTTTTTTTTCCAAGAGCCTGGATATTTTTTGGCTTACACTTTTGTAATTAATTTACAGTTTTATTACTATGTGGTCACACAATGTGGCCAGAAGAATTTCCATGGGGAGAAAATTACTTGAGATTTTCTTCATAGTCAAATAGAAAATCAATGTTTGTAAACTTTCTTCAAGTATTTTCTTAATGGAATTAAAAGATTTTTCTCTTTAATCATTCATTTATTCACTTAGCATTGCTTCAGCTATGTTTCTCCTACATGTCAGTCATTGTAGTAGGCATTGCAGGATATAAAAATAAATAAGACATATGCTTTCTTCTACAGTTGTCAACATTTGGATGGAATATAGATAATTATAATAAATCCATTGCCGTCGAGTTGATTCCGACTCATAGCAACCCTATAGGACAGAGTAGAATTACCCCATACGATTTCCAAGGAGGTTGGTGGGTTCAAACTGCTGACCTTTTGGTTACCAGTCAAGCTCTTAACCACTGTGCCACCAGGGCTCCAATAATTATAATACAGTGTAAGAAATGCAACTGCAACAGAATGTACAAAAAGGCAAGACGGCCAAGTGTGGGATCTAAGGCCTATTCTAGGTTCTGGGAAGACAAAGTCGATAGAGGCTTTCATTCCAAAAGTGTAAAAGATGAATTAAGGGCAGAGATAGACTTTTGGAGGCAAGAAGTTTAATTAGGAAACCATTGTTGCAGTCCAGTACTAAATTAGGATATATGAGAGACATGAGAGAACAAGAAGAACAGAGGGGATTTTTCACATTTAGGGGTCATGTGGAGAAGTACACATAGTAGGCTGAGGAAGGTAGAAGTAAAATTTTGCAGGGGACAGGGGAGGAGAACACTTCAAGGAGAACTCGGTCAATGGTCAAGTGCAGCCAAGAGGTCAAGTAAGTTAAAAGCAAAAACGTGTCCATTAGCCATGATCGTTGGTGACTTGGGGAAAGCAGTTTCAATGAAGTGTGAGCAAGAAGCTGACTATAAGCGGGTTGAGACTTGAATGGGATGTGACATGGTGGAGACAACAAGTGTTTCTCAAGAAGCTTACTGATGAAGGGAATGACTGAGTTAAGGCAGCAGTTAAAGGGGCAGAGAATCAGAAAGATTGTTTTTAGGATGCAAACAACATGCCAGCATGTTTAGATAACGAGGTGGGTGAGCTGAGAGAGATAGAAGGCATGATTGCTGGTGTGAGGGTCCTGAGCAGAGGGGAGAGGGCTGGACACAAAGTCCAAGAGGAAGGATGATCTCTGACAGGAAATGACTGGTGGATCTCCCACTTCTTTACAAGGCTGAAAGAAGTTGTCATTGTGGAACCTTCAGTCACATTTCTGAACCCTGACTGGAAGGATCCAGAGTCTTGGTCTCTGAGGTGAGAGTTTGCTTCATAGGTATGATTCAGGATCCATCCTTTCCTCCCTGCCAATACAATTAGAGAAGAATCTCTATACTTTTCTTATCTTTTCTGAGGCTTTCATTGTTGGTCTGCAATGTGTTCCTGGAGTCTGTCTTTCTTTAGGATTCCCTGGGTGGTGCAAATGGTTAATGCACTTAGCTGCTAACTGAAAGGTTGGAGGTTGAATTCTACCCAGAGGCACCTCAGAAGAAAGGCCTGGTGATCTACTTCTGAAAAATCAGCCATTGAAAATCCTTCGGAGCACAATTCTGCTCTGACACACATAGGGTCACCATGAGCCTGAATTGACTCAGTGGCAACTGATTTTGTTTTGTTTTTGGTCTTTTTTTAACTATGTAATATGTATCCGGTCATCAGAAAAATTAACAGTTAATTGCAACTAGAGTGCTAGATGCCATAAGGTCACAAAAGTTTGTTACTGTAAATACGAAGTAAAATATATCAAAATAATATTTCAAATCTTCAATCGATCTCCTTTTCTGTTTCTGATTCAAGACTGTCACATCAACACATGAGCAAAAATGTCTATCAAGATGACTTGTGTCTTAGCACATGATATCCATAGTTTATTTCTATAACAAACATTGAATCCATAGGAAGAGATACATCTTGATGCTTACAAAATTTTTTCATTTGCATGTTGGGGTTTCACAGGTTAGTAACAAATAATATCCTGGAAGTATGACAAGCCTAAGATTATTATTTTTTTCTTCTTTTTCTGTTATTCTGGAAAAACACTCTATTCTCTGTATGAAGTGAAACTCCTGGGTCGATTATCACTGTAAATAATTATGAAACAAAGCCTGGATACGAAAGATTGCCCATATAGGCCCCTCTATTGAGTAAGATCTCACTTATTAAAAACCAAGGTTGACAGTTTCATAGGCTCGTTATGGTTCTGATGGGTTTCACCACATCAAAGATGTAGAAATTTTCGCTACAGATTTGTAAGTAAGCACGGGTTTACTTGTTCATACTTACAAATAAGTAAACCTGTGCTTACCTTGCTGACTGGGTAATCTGCCCATCAGAGACTGTAAATTTTAAAAAGGCTTTGATTCTGTAGGATGGTGCTTTGGGGTTGGGAGAGAGACAGACGCCAGCCATACCTAGAAGCAGAATCTTCGGTGTGGTGAAAAAATGTGAAATTTTTCACTAGAGATGATCTGCTGAGCAAGGTAAGTACCATGCTTACCTTGCCTGTTGGATAATCCGCCCCTGCCTGGGGAATTGTAACCATTTTGTTTGGATGTTCACTTTGCCAAATGCGCTGACTCCCTGCCATACCTACACTCTGTCCAAAGGGGTGAGCTCAGGCACTGATTTTGAGAAGTGTGACCCTTAATATACCCCAAAATCAGATACTCCACGGGCTTTCCCTAAAGAGGGAGATGGGATGAAAGGGACAGTCACTTCAGATGAGAAGTGTGAAGTCAACAAAGTCCCAGGATGATTGTGGTGAGCACAGAAAACAGCAAGTTGGCCCAATTTCTCAGCGGACCGAAGAGGGCAGCAGTGCACTCATAAAGTACTCTGAAAGTTGAGTGATGATTTCTGTTTTGGCTCACAGTCTCTGATCACTGCTCTGCCATCCCTTAACATGCTGACACAATCTAGCAGACAGCTATGTAAAAATTTGGTCTTAAGCTACCTAAAATCATTTCCATTAGCTCATTAAAAAATTTTTTTGTTGTAAAAATATACATAAAATATTTGCCAACTCAACATTTTTTACATGTACAATTCAGTGACATTGATTACATTTATCATGTTGTGCAACCATTACCACTATCCACGTCCAAGTTATTCTACCACTATTAACAGACACTCAGAGCCCCCTAAGCTAAGATTCCTCATTCCCCCTCCCTCCCACCCCTGGTAACCACTAATAAACCTTGGTTTCTATACTGATTTGCCCACTATTTGCATGTAAGTGGGATCATACAGTGTTTATCCTTTCATGACTGACTGACTTCTCTCAGCATAATGTTTTCAAGGTTCATCCATGTTGTTTCACATATCAGGACTTAGTTTCTCTTTATAGCAGAGTCCATTAGCTCTTTAGACAAAGCTGTATTTGGTATTCTTCATTAAACCTGTTGCATATATGCCCCCTCAGCATCATTTGGCACAGCAGCTCTGGCCTTTTCATACTATCCATACCAGTCTGTGAAAAGAAACCTAAGCATTCTTAGATGGTTAGTCAGGGCCTGCCTGCCTTGGAGCAGTCCACTTGGTCTTGTGGCTGTGCCAACAAACCGGAGCTTTGGATGCTGAAAAAAATGAAACCAAGGTGGAGAGGCAGACTGATGTGTTTAAGGGGTACCTGGAATATACAGCAGCTTCCACCCACTGTGTGAGTCTGTGGTTCCTTTTTCTTGCTGTTCAAAGTCCCCAGTGAAAATCTGAGTGAGACGAGAGCGCGCAGGGACTGTCCACCTCCCTACCCACACCCCACATAAACACCGTTGACTTTCCACTTGCCATTGACCTGCCCTCCAGTATGACTTATCAGCTGTTTGGTGTATGTCACTAAAAGAAAAGAAAAAAAAATTGTGGAATGTGCTGCTCTGCATGCTAATGAAATGGCAGAGCCAACTCAGGGGTTTTGAGAACATTTGCAAATGAGGAGAAGAATGATCTTCAGTTTCTGACCTCCTGGTACGGCAGCGGCATTTAGCAGGAGGCACATGTGACTGGGTAAGACACAGAGCCCCAGCTTGAAGGAAACAGCTGCTTGCAGTACTTGGCAACTGGACAGGCAAGGCACTGATGTGAGGAATACCAGGCAGCGCCCAGCGCAGTAAGTAACTGGAGAACTCTTCTGTGTGTGTGGGTTGTGCATGCCACTCACAATTTTTAGCTTTGATTTTGGTTTCCCCTCCGGGACTATAGAAGAAGCTATTTTATTTGTACCCATTGTTACTGGCCAGTTGTAGCTTTACAGACTTTTTTAGAACCTGTCACTTTTAGGAACATTGTTTTCTAACTTTTAGGGATGAATGGGACATATTGCTTGATTCCTATCTAAGAAGCAGTGAGTTTATTTCCTGGTGTCCAGGGTTTTTATAGTCCATGGTACTGAGGTTCAAAGTCAAGATTTAGGTTACAAAATAGAGAACTTACTGAAGTGATTTCATGACTGTATTTGATTTTAATCAGTTTTACTACTGAACCAGAAAACCTAAAAACATACTTTAAAAAAATAACTTCTGAGTTTCTTGTATGTCTAAATTGACATTTCCTAGTCAGACTTGAAGAATATTTTATTTACCTGTGTAAAACAATCTGCAATATAAAAAAGTGACAAAATCATATTTAGATTAGAAATTATATTTAGATTTCATGCATGCTTTCCAACTCATTGAAAACTATATTTTATAGCTAGATATATGCAAGAATCACCTGGGGATCTTGTTAAAATGTAGATTCTGACAGAAGAATCACCTGGGACGCTTGTTAAACTGTATATTCTGATTCAGTATATCTGGGGTGGAAATGCAAATTCCCAGCAGGGGGTCGAACTGGAACAAACCAATCTGAAGCCCTAGTAGGCACCATACTAGAACTGAGCTGTTGTTCTGGGACTTCTGTCTTTCCTTAGGAGTCAACAGACAGGATGCTTTAAGAGGAAAGGGAGAAGGGAGAGGGCAGAACCCTGAATATAGATGATGTAAACCTCTGGAAGTGACAGCATTCTGAGTTAGAGTGCTTCAGGGAGATAACCAAACAGCTTCCTTTTTCTGGATTGCCTGGACATTAGGGAGGGAGAGCAGAGAGTGCTTTGTTTATCTGAATTCTTACCATACAGTTGTTTTGCTTACATCAAGCCCAGGACACCTTGAAGTGTGCTTGTTACCCCAGGCAGACAGATAAGATTGCCATGTAGGCTCAAGCTGTACAATTTTCTTCTGACTTGTGCCCTGTGGCCCGAGGGAACCCTGCTCACTCTCCAACCGCACCACCCCTTGTTGCATGTGGAGAGTGGGTTGAAAATTGCCTAGGACGTGCTGGTTCTGCCTCAGAGTTACCCTCCACATGGTTTGTTTTGAGTACCACATCAGCCAAAGATCTGTGATGGAAGTAGTTCCAGATGCCCCATCTAGAAAATGTCTAGTCTGGCATTGGAAAGTTCTCCTTCTTTCTCTTAAAATGTAGAAGAACCCACAAAACCTACAGTGTCCAATGAGAAAAAATATTTCCAACTCCTCCATTTCTCTTTATGCTATTTGTGTGAGGTCCCTGGGTCAGCATGTGGACATGTGGCCCAGTGACTTCCGTGTCTGACTGGACTGCCTGGCTGCCCTGCTGGGCCATTCTTTTAGGGAGGTTTCTCCTGGCATAGTTTCATTTTTTCCACAGGCTGATAGTGGAAAATAACTCTCAAGTGAAACAGCTTCTCCAGAAAAAGTAGTCTTCCAGAATAAAGTGGAGTGTCTGAATTGGAGTCAGAATATCCTTTCGAATTATCAAAATGCTGAATTTTGAAGGTCTGCGTATTATTTTGAAAAACTCAATGATACCTTGACTTTCAAAATATTAACAACAAAAAAATAAAAATAATTATTTTACATGCAGATAGTACATCTATAAAGTCAAAGACCTTTAGAGCTGTACAGGAATTATAGAATGTGTGATTTAATGCCTTCATTTCAAAGATGAGGGAATTGTAACAAACTTATCTGGGTCACAGTGCTAATGGCAGAGCCAGAAAAGAGAGCTCAAGTCTTCTGCTACTATTGTTGTTGTTGTTAGGTGCTGTCCAGTCGTTTCCAACTCATAGCGACCCTATGTAGAACAAAACGAAACACTGCCCAGTCCTGTGCCATCCTCAGAATCGTTGCTATGTTTGAGCCCATTGTTGCAGCCACTGTGTCAGTCCATCTCGTCGAAGGTCTTCCTCTTCTTCAGTGACACTCAACTTTACAAAGCATTATGTTCTTCTCCAGGGACTGGTTCCTCCTGATAACTTGTCTAAAGTACATGAGAGAAGTCTCACCATCCCTGCCTCTAAGGAGCATTCTGGCTGTACTTCTTCCAAGACAGATTTGTTCATTCTTCTGGCAGTCCATGGTATATTCTTCACCAACACCATAATTCAAATGCATCAATTCTTCTTTGGTGTTCCTTATTCATTGTCCAGTTTTTACATGCATATTAGGTGATTGAAAATACCATGGCTTGGGTCAGGTGCACCTTAGTCCTCAAAGTAAAATCTTCGCTTTTTAACACTTTAAAGAGGTCTTTTGCGGCAGATTTGTCCAGTGCAATGCGTCATTTGATTTCTTGACTGCTGCTTCTGTGGGTGTCGAGTGTGGATCCAAATAAAACGAATACCTTGACAATTTCAGTCTTTCCTCCATTTGTCATGATGTTGCTTATTGGTCCAGTTGTGAGGTTTTTTTTTTTTATTTATGTAGAGGAGTAGTCCATACTGAAGGCTGTAGTCTTTGATCTTCATCAGCTTCAAGTCCTCTTTGCTTTCAGCAAGCAAGGTTGTATCATCTGCATATTGCAGGTTGTTAATGAGTCCTCCAATACTGATGCTGTGCTCTTCTTCATACAGTCTAACCTCTCTGATTATTTACTCAGCATACATGCTACTGTTACTATTATGATCAACCAATAATCAGTTACCATTGAGTCAATTCTGACTCATGGTGATCCCGTGTGTGTCAGAGTAGAACTGTGCTCCACAGGGCTTCCAATCACTGATTTTTTGGAAATAGATCACCAGGCCTTTCTTCTGAGGTGCCTCTGGGTGAATTCAAACCTCCAAACTTTCATTTAGCAGCTGAGTGTGTTAACAGTTTATACCATCCAGGGTATAATATTTATATTATGATAGTAATGCTAATAATTATAGCTTATGTTTGCTATGTACTTCCTACGTCAGATAATGTGCTAAGCAAGTGCATTTATTTTCATGTAATCCTTCCAACAACTTTATATGCAATGTATTTTGTTCTACTTTTATAGATGAAGAAGCTGAGGCTCAGAGACCTGTTAGTCACTTGGATATATATGCACAGGTGGGAGTCATACCTAGATCTGAGTCCAGAACCCACACTTTTCACCCCCACACTCCACCCCTGTATTGCTTCTCAGAACACCAGTCTTAAATGCGTCTAAGAGCTATATTTTCACCAGGGAATTTTTCTGATATTCAAATCTTGCCAGCCACCAGGGCAGGGGAAACGAAGATATGTGAGCAAGCCACTCAGAAACACATGGATGCTTCAAGCCAAGATAGGGCAAGGGGCTCTCTGCCTCCGTCAGGGACATTGGAACTCAGAGTGTGAGCCCTGTGACAGGTCTCTTCACCTGTCCTGAGTTTGCACACCCACCAACCTCCTCAAAATCTTAAAAGAGAAACCTAGCAGCAGCTGTTTCACAGGTAGATAAAAAGAGTGAGAACAGGACAACTAGTTATTAAACAAAGGCCTGAGAACTTTCGAGGGCTCCTCCTCTCTAAAAGATGAGGATGACAGGGCTGTTTAGACACATAGGAGACATGCCTGTAGTCACATAATTACGGCCGGTGCCTGCACAAGACCTGGCCCCTGGAACCCATGCTAACACTCCTTAGCTACACTGTGCTGTGGCCATTAAAAAAGCAAAAGAACTTTAATGCATATGCTAATCCCACATGTCAACTGAAAAGCTCATGTAATGCAAATGATAATATTTGCAGCACCGTAAGATTAGTCACAATGTGTGTTATGGCCATTTGGAACTCCCTGTGGCAGGAAGGGCTAGGTTTCTCCCTGTGGCAGTCTGAGCCCAAGCTATTTGGATCACTGACTAGTGGCATGTTTTTCTCTTCAAAAATAGTTAAATGGTGGGGCATGCATTGGTAAGAACAGCAATCCAGAGTGTTATTTGTAATCTGGAGCACACTGCTGTCACAGCCCCTTCTAGACTTTTCCTCAGTTTTTCCTGTCACTCCTTTCCTTTCGAGGGCAACCATTCTACCTAGGCCCCACCCCTAATAGCTGCCTTAGTGTTGATAAAGCTATTATCACACCCGTTAGCTGTGGCTCAACCTGGAAGCTTGGTTGTTCATGTAGGCTGTTTATGAATAGAAATCATGCAATCAGTCACTAAGTTTCTGTTTGTTCTGAGCTGTGAGGGAGGGTCACAGGGCAGGTGGCTGTCTGTGAGTGAGGAAGGCCTTGGTAGAGGAGGAAAGGTGTACTTTTCTCGGTTGTCTGAGATGCTGCCTGCACCTGCTGTTGCCTCTAACTGCATGCTGCTCCCCGCCCCCAAAAAACAAACTAGTTGCTTTCGAGTCGATTCTGACTCATGACAACCCCACGTGTGCAGAGTAGAATTGTGTTCCATCGGGTTTTCAAAAGCAGAGCTACAGGTCTGTCTTCTGAAGCACCTCTGGATGGGTTTGAATTGCCAACCGTTTAGTTAGTAGTCAAGCACTTAACTGTTTGTGCCACCCAGAGACACATTCTTCTCCTCTTACTTGTCATATATTTAAAAACTGGCAGGCTTGTGGGTCATGAACCTTGGCTTTTGTGGGTCATTAGACACAGACAAATTATAGAAACCTGCTTCTTAAACCCTTTAAAATATTTTTGTCTCTCCCCATTTCTCTGTGTGGTTAAATGTGAAAATTAGGGTTGGTGATAATGTGAAAGGGCACTGAGTAATACACAAGTAGCCAGGAAGATTCTTTGGTTAAGCAGGAGAAAAATTGAGTAAGTAGACTATGCATGGATGTCTTTGAGAAAGTTTATCAATTTTTCCACGCAAGGTTATTATGACAAGATTACACACAATGATGAGCAA